GTCATGCAGCTTGATGGATGCACCTTATCAGGGAGCTTCCGCCTCACCCCTTCCCACTCAACTCTCCTTTGAGCTTTAAAGTCAGATCTCCACTGTGGCATTTCAAAGCACTGGACAAAAGCATGGGGATGTCCTGGGGAAGAGGGTGGCCTTCCCGGGGGCCTGGAGTTCAGTCCACCCCCAAGACCTGGCGGGGAGGAGAGCTGTCACCTGCAGAGCCAGCTTCACTCTCTTGGTGACTGCATTCTCCGGGAACGTTGCCTGTACCAGGGGCACCAGCTTGCTCTTCAGGGAGCCCCCTTCAGGACCGATGGTGTCGTAGTCCTGGCAGAGCCGCGACATGATCACAAAGTACAGCGGGAAGTCGGTGGTGATGATTCGGCACACCCTCTTCTTCTCCAGCTCCTCCAGGCTCCCCAGCTCTGGAATCACACACACAGGCCACCACCCCGGTCACATCAGGCACAGGTTCAGGCCTTCCAGGGGCCCCAGAGCCTCCTTGTCCCCAAGACCCAGTGCACACACCCTCTCCAGGTGCCGGGCGGCATAGTGGCCAGAAGAAGTGCCCAGGCCCAGAGGCCCAGCAGAGCAGATGCGGCTGCAGGCAGCAGCTGAGCATCCCCTCACACATCCTGGGGACCCAGGGCTTGTCCACACCAGGCCATTTCCAGCCTCTTGGGGCTTCCCAAACTCCAGGTGGCTCTGAAAGACCACCTTTAAGGTGCAACTCAAACCCCTCTTCCGCAAGGTGGGGACCCAGCCCTGGGATCCCCCCTACTACCTTCGTCCATCCCGTTGAGGATCTGATCCAGGTAGCTCTCTCCATAGCGGCTCCTGTGCTCCTTCCACACGGAGCCGTTTTCACTCCTCAGAACCACGAGCTCCCGGTCTCCACGGCCATGGGAGGCAAAGTGCGGGATCTCCACGATTACAGGGCTGAGGCAAGGACACCGTGGTGGTGGGGAGGTGCTCACACAGGGCAGGCAGGGCACAGGGAGGGATGGGGCTGCCGGCTCCCACCCAGATGGAGAAGGCGCTTCCACAGCCACGTGGAGGCCCTACCTGCAGGCAGGTCTCTAAGTGGACCAGACCCGTGGGGGGGTCCCCCGGGCTTCCCACAGCCCTGCTTGCTCCCCACCAGGCTTGCAGTAACAGTGAGGGCAGGGCCAGTCTCATTTCACGGGGGCTCTGCTCCCATGACCTAAGGATCCTGTCCTTGCACCTGATTCTAAAAATCCATCTGACATCCCTAGACGGGTAACCTCATCTATCAACTGGTCATAATGACATTTCCTTCGGAGGGACGCTTTGAGGACAAAGAAAGGTCAATGAGAAAACTTGCTGCTTTGCAAATTGTGGTGACCGCTCTGAGCGGGGCCAGGAGGGTGGACAGAGGTAGAAGGCAGGGCCTCCTGGTCAGCCCTGTCCCCACATCACACCCATGGTGCCTGAAGGGTAGCAAAGCTCCAGGAGGAGCCCAGGCTGCTTCAGGGAGGTGGGCCATAGGCCTCTGGAGCTGCGTACTTCGCTCGTCCGCAGGGGAAACAGCCAGGGAGGCTGTGTTCCTGGGGACTCTCAGTGCATAAATGGTCAGACCCTCAGAGCCTCAGATTGGCCTTGTCTCTAGTGTCACGCAATATTTAACAGTTGTTTTTTTGGTTTTGTTTTTTATTTTTTACAATGACGGGGTCTTGCTATGTTTTCCAGGCTGGTCTCGAACTCCTGGCCTCAAGCGATGCTCTCACCTCAGCCTCCCAAAGCATTGGAATTACAGGCGTGAGCTATCATGCCCGATCTGAGATCTGAGAGTTGTAAGCCCTCTCAGGGCTATGGACGCCTTCGTGTGTTAGGAAAAGTCAGGGAAAGGGGAGGGGCACCCAGTTCTGTTTCCCTGTCGGGACACTAGAGATGGCGTGGCCTCCGTGGCACAGGGACAGGTGAGGACATGGGCTGCCTGTGCATGCTCACCTCAGGAACTGTGCCCCTGTGGGCCCCAGCGCGATGATCCTGCTGGCCAGGCCCTCCTCCTCGGCCAGTGGGGGTGGCGTGCTGAGCTTCTGGGGCTTGACCAGGCGGCAGGTGATGCGGGTGGGCGCTGCGCACGTCCGTGGTGGGATCACCACTCGCAGGCCGTTGTGGCGACTTCCTCTCATGGAACCACCCCGGGCGTCGACCATGAAGCTCACCAGAAACCTAGGAGTGGGGCAGATGCACGCTGGGCTTCTGCATCCCCTCTGGGAGATGGAGACAGAAGTCCCCGAGCCCTGTGCCCGCCACTCACCCTGTGTGCACCGGGCTGGCCACCGGGCTGATGTTGTCTGAGGTCTCGGTGGCCGGACTGCTGGGGATGAGGGAGTCCTCATCATACTCTTTAGATGCCTGAGGACAAAGAAAAGGTCCTCCTGTTCCACTTCCTCCCTGGCCGGCTGGATGCCGTACCAGGGCATGGAGGCTTGGAAGAGCCTTGCTGCTAGAAACCAGGTGCCACGTGGAGAAAGTGCTCCCACAGGACCCCACCATCCTATCAGACAAGGCTGTCCTGGAGTCTAAAAGGAGACAGGAGCTTCCTCCCACCTCCATGCCTCTCCTGGGCTCAAGACCCTGGGACACAGCCTTGGAATGGATGGAGCCAGTCCTCACCATTCAGTCTGACTCCTGGCCCCCAGGCCCACTGCACTTGCTGCAGACCTGCCCCTTCTTTCCAGCTCTGCCCACAGGGAGCCCTGCCTTTGGCAGGCCAACTTCCTCTAGGACGGGCACTGCATCCCAGCACCATGACCGCCTCACCACTTAGCTGTGGGTGGGCTACCTGCCCTGTGGACATCTGGAGTCCATGAGGTGAACACAACAGACTCCCGCCCTTGTGGGGCTTCCTGCTTCCTCACCTGTATAGCGGGGACTTGCCTTAGGGTAACATTGCAACTACAGGGATGCCAGCCTACCCTGGCACAGCCAGCAGGACCTGAGCCCGGCCTTGGTGCTCTCTAGATCTTCACGTCTGCTTTTCCCCCAGTCCAGAACATCCTTGTCCCTCACCGTTGTTGATCTAATCCTCTCCACTCCCCACATCTCACCTCCTCCACAGATACTCCCAGCCACCCTGGGGCTGGTTAGGGCCTCCCTGCTCTGCACTCTGCCAGCACTCACACCACACAGTGGAGCACTCCCCTGCTCTCCCTCCCGGTTCTGTGCTAACTGAGTTCACGCGTCCGAGTCCACTCTTTCCGGTTGGGCCCTGGCTCCCAGGAGGCAGGTGTCCAGCCCTCCTGCCTGAGCCTGTCCAGGGCGCACAGCAGGAATCCAGTAAACATCTGCTGGCTGGAATTCCTACCCTAGGCCAAGAGTTGAAGACAGTGGGCTGGTCAAGGACCCGCGGGTTTCTCACTGCTGCTGTCCTGGGCTGCATCCAAGGACTGAGCCACCACAGGATACGGCCCCATCTGACCATCTCTCCCAGACGCGGCCCACCCAATGCTGCCGATGTTGCACCATTATGAGGCGTCCAAGCGTGAAATGCCAGTTGGACAGTGAGTGGCATGTGAGCTATCAGTGTCTATTGTGCTACGTACAGGCCACCCCTCAACAATCACTGTCCCGGGGTACTCATGCTCTCCACGTGGGGAAACCACAGAGAAGCAGCTTCTTACCTGCTCCTGCTCTTCTGTCCTGATCACCACCGTCTCAGGTGTGACACAGGGAATCCTGGGAATGGCTGGAGATTCCACCCTGCATGCCAAGAACACCAGAACATCACAGGGCTGATCCACATGTGCACACAGCTTCCTCTTCCTCTTGCCTCCAAGTCTCTCCCTCCCACTTTCCACTACGGCGCCTGACTGCCCTTCACAACCTGGTGGAAGGACTGCCTCCTCCTCCATGAAGTCCTCCCCAATGACTCCAACCTGCACTCGCCACCCCTTTCTCCTCCTTTAGAACCTGTTGACAGAATCCTCGCTCTGGCTAACAATATATCTTTGTGTGTTGCTATATGACCACTTGGTGTGCATTTCAATCCCACCAAATGAATCGTAAGTTGCTTATGGTCAGGGTTACAGCTCTGTATTTCTTTCTAACAGATGTCTAGCAAATTCAAGTGGAGCAAATGGCCCCGTGGTTTCACTCCCCGCTTGTCCAGGGACATTTCCGTCTTTTCAGAAAACACCTAGAGCTTAGTGTTTCTACAAAGTCGTTGATATTAGATTGCTTTGCAAAATGTCCCTGTGTACACTGTGCCCACAGTGAGATAACTCACAGCAGTCATGGGGGAAAGGAGAAATGTGGTCCAGGCAGACCCGAATCTCCCCTGGCTTGTACCTAACATACCTCAGGGGCAGAGGGATGCAGTCAGAGTTCGAGCTTAGCCTGGCAATAGTTTCTAATGTGAATCTTCCTCAACTTTTTTTTTTTTTTTTTTGAGATAGAGTTTCACTCTTATTGCCCAGGCTGGAGTACAGTGGCACAATCTTGGCTCACTGCAACCTCCACCTCCCGGGTTCAAGCAGTTCTCCTGCCTCAGCCTCCCAAGTAGCTGGGACTATAGATGCACACCGCCACATTCAGCTATTTTTCTGTATTTTTAGTAGAGATGGGGTTTCACCATGTTGGTCAGGTTGGTCATGAACTCCTGACCTCAGGTGATCCTCCTGCCTCTGTCTCCCAAAGTGCTGGGATTGCAGGTGTGAGCTACCGCGCCCGGCCATGTTCCTCAACTTTTGGATGAGAAGTTGAGTGTGCATAAGATGGAGAGGGGGTGTGGATATAAGGCTGTGAATGAGGGGAGCCTGGGAGAGGAGGGGACACTGGAAGAGGAGTAGAGAGGCATCCAGGCAGCATGGTGTGAGGAAGGCCTCCTCCTGCCCTGGTGGCTCAGGTGCACAGCTAGTGCATCCTAAGGTGCAAACCGTCTCTCTCTGCGGGCAGCATGCCCAGCACCTGGCCTGCTGTGCTCTTCCTCCCTCTGGAATCTCTGCTCTGAGCCACAGGGCTACACCTCAGCATCCTCCTAGGGACCCTCCCAGGAGCGCTGCTCACACTTGGTCTAGCTTTGGCACAAAATCCAGGAGCTCCTTCTCTTCATCGACATCCCTGGAATCCGGCCTCTCAGGCTTGGAGCCGATGAGTTCTTCCCCTGAAACAGCAAGAGCTCAAGTGAGCGACAGGGTAGAGGGAGAAGAGTCCCTCTTACTTTTTAAAAAGCTCTGTTCCCACTCCGCCTCTCAGGGCTTGCTCCTGAGGAGTGGGGAAGGCCTTGATGCTGCAAGGAGACCGGGAGCAATGTCTTTGCCCAGTCCTGGTCCTCCAGCTCTGGGACAGAGAGCAGGGCAGCCAGCTCCTGACATCTTAGATGCCTGAGGCTTTGCAGGAAGCCAAAGACACAGCCAGAAAGAACTTTCTTCACTTAGTTCCAATTCAAAACAGCCCTTTTAGGGTGCAATGACACCAAAGAAGGAACTGCTACTGCTCTTTTCCACTCCACACCAACAGAAGAACAAACTACAGTGGAACTGGACCCACTCATTTCAAAGGGCTGGAGAATTTTCTGTAACCATGGCAGCCAAAACCTCATTACTTCCAAAACCCATCACAAAGAGGTTCAAACTACGGGTCAATCAGCTGCCTGTACCTCTGACTGCCCCTTTGTTTCTCTCTCCTAGTTTGAACTGGAGCTGGAGCCCCGGCCCTGAACCTTGAGGGGTCATTCAATGCCACCCAGCAGTGAGCACCATGGCTTGTGATCTGGAGCTAACAGGATGGAAGAACAACAGCTCATGCAGTTATGATCACAAACATGGTGGCATGGGCACAGACACAGAGAAGGACAGGCAGGAGCTGCCTGCCGGGCATGGGTCTCATGGGTGTGAATTCCTTGGTTTAGTTGAGCTCCTGGCTCCAGGTTATTCGCTGTCAGAGGAAGATGGAAAGCAGGAATGGATTAGTGAGCATCTGGGTTGCTTAGGGTGAAATGCACTCTGGTGAGAAAAGACCACAGGAAACAGAAAGCGTTTCATACCCATTATAGTTATATGAGCAGTTCCTGGAAAGCAAAGGAGAGCAGAGTTGAAAGAAGGACCACATTGAAGGCAGTTAAAGCGAGAAACATATATTATCCAAAGGAGCACCAGACAGCTCTGCTTCTCTAGTTGACAAAGTTATACAACCATGGAATAACCCAGATGGAAAGGACTACCGAGCTGATCCAGCCCACCCCACTATTCAACATCCCCAGAGTTGAGGATCTTACTGCTCAATATCCCCATCTAATTAGGGATGAAATAAGGTTTGTTGGGGGTAGGAAAATACTGGAAGCATTCTGTAGTTCATACAAGCTGAGACTATAGTAATTTCTTTCTTTTTCTTTTAGAGACAGGGTCTGGCTCTGTCACCCAGGCTGGAGTGCGGTGGGGTGATTACAGCTCACTGCAGCCTCAAGCTCCTGGACTCAAGCAATCCTCCCACCTCAGCCTCCAGAGAAGCTGGGACTATAAATGTGCACCACCACACCCCACTAATTTTTAGTTCCAATTTTTTTTGTAGAGACGGGGGTCTCCCTTTATTGCCCAAGGCTGGTCTTGAACTCCTAGCCTCAAGCAATCCTCCAACCTTGGCTGCCCAAAATTCTGGGATTGCAGGCATGAACCCAGGCACCCAGCCAGACTATAGTAATTTCATAATCACAGAAATAACCCAAAACCTACTGACCCGCTATGTGGTTGAAGTGCAGCTTAAAAGGCATTCTCACAGATTTTGAATAATCCACTTAGTATTCATTCAAAGCATAAAGAAAGAACCAGACAGAATTTTATTACAGTTCCTCATGGGCTGAGAGTTGGTCTGAGTAGAACCATGCTCCAATTTGATAACACATCCATAATCTATGCAAACACACATGTGTTTTTGAAACTTCACGGAATTTTAAATTTAGTCAATGTTCCTTCACCTAAGATTGTATTAATAGAGTAGTATTTTTGATAATAGACAACAGCTATAAAAAGCAGGTCTCCCCACTTTCAGTGTCCATCTACAGCTCTTGGGCGTGTTGTAAGGGGGCAAAGCCGGCAGGTGGCAGGAAGCCCCCTTGGAGGGTGCCCAGAGCCCCTCTGTCCCCACCAGCCTGAGCTCATTACCCCAACTTTACCTTCATCTTCCGAGACATCCAGGATCTCATCAACTGTCTCAGGGAAACTCATCCGATGCTTATCACTGACTAACTAAAATGAGAAAAAGCAGATAATTCAACCCAAACTAGAGCCGCACACATTTTTTACCAGCCCAGCGGTTCCCTGGTCACGCCTGTGGGGTGTGCCCCAAACGCAGAAAAACGGACGGAGGAGGTGCTCAGCCTAGAAGCTGCCGGGCAGGAACCACTGAGATGGGACCCGGGAAAACTGGCTTCCCATCTCCCCAAACCCCATCCACTCCACTGCTGCTCGGAATGCTGGTCCTGCCCCGAGTCCTCAGGCCGCTAGGTGGCAGCACAGCCCCGCTGGAAGGAGGACAAGTTCCCACCCGTTGGGCGCTGCGCCTCCGACCGGCGTCCTGGAGCCCCAGAACGCACCCCACTTCCAGAGTAACCCCGGGCACGCCTCTGCGCCAGGCTGAGTGTGTCCGGGGTGGGTGCGGGGGAGAGGCAGACATACCACGAAACTGGTTTCATCCGTGACGACCTTGAGCACGTCGGTGACAGAAATGTAGCCCAAGCGCTTGGCTATGGCCAGAGGTGTGGTTCCATCCTGGGAAAAGAGCAGCCCGGGTGCAGTCAGAGGATGGAGTCTAGCAGGCGGGGCTGGCCCCTTAGACACAGATCGAGTTCACCTTCTAGTTGTTCAGGAGAACCTGAGTGGACAGATGTCACCGTGGGGCCCAGAACGAGATCCCTGCACGTGTGTGTGCCTAGATGTGTGTTAGCAGCAGCACCCAGAGATGGGTGTGGGAGGAGGGAGGGCAGGGGTGCTTTTGATCTGCAGCGTCAAGTGTGGGGCCTTGCAACCCAGCAGGGGAAATCTCCCAAGGAGAAGTCAGGCTCTGCCAAGTGGGTGCCCACCGGGAAGGAGGTCAGGAAGTTAGCAGATGCAGTTTTAGGAAGATGAGGACAGAGGGAGGCTGCTTGCTGCTCCCAAAGTCTGTTCTTGGGTGTCAGTGATGGGGTATTAAAGTAGTTGAATTAATCCATATACTTCAATGAACTCTAATCAGAATACTCAGAAATCACAAATCACCAGAAACACAGCAAGGGCATACTTTCTACTTTGATTCGAAGAGAAAGAGCTACGTGATCATAAATGGATACTGAGGCTTGATTTTTCTTTTGACTTCTCTACTTCTAGGATGTGCCTTGGGCTCCGTTCAGATTCCAGCCCAGCTGCAGCTGCAATTTCTGCAACCCCATCTACAATCAAGGATCCACTTTTGTGTGTGTGTGTGAGACAGAGTCTCACTCTGTCGCCCAGGCTGGAGTGCAGTGGCGCAATCTAGGCTCAGTGTAACTTCTGCCTCCTGGACTCAAGTGGTTCTTGTGCCTCAGCTTCCCGAGTAGCTGGGACTACAGGTGCCTGTCACCTCACTTGGCTAATTTTTTTTTTTATATTTTTAGTAGAGACACTCGCCCTGGAGTGTTGGCCAGGCTGGTCTCTAACTCCTGACCTCAAGTGATCCACCTGCCTTGGCCTCCCAAAGTGCTGGGATTACAGGTGTGAGCCACCGCACCCAGCCAAGGGGGTCCACATTATTTCAGAGATAGAAGCAAACACGGAGATAATTTCATAGAACCTCCGCATGGTCAGATGAGAAAGCTCATAGTGAACAATGATTGCTGATGTCACTAAAGATAACCTCGAGCCCTGAAAGATCAGGAACCACCCAGGACATTGAACTATGTTCACTTGCACCATATTGAAAACAGTTTCACATATTTTAGAATGGGTTTCAACAAATATTTATATATATGGTATATATGTATTAGTCAAAGTTCTTCAGAGAAACAGAACCAATAGGATATATATATATGTATATGTCTGTGTGTGTGTGTGTGTGTGTGTATATATATATATATAAAAAAAAAGACACAAGGTCTTGCTCTGTCTTCCAGGCTGGCTTTCAAGTGGGCAACTGGAAAATGGACACTGAACTGCAGTGGCGCAATCACAACTCCCTGCAGCCTTGACTTCCTGGACTCAGGCTATCCTCCCACTTCAGCCTCCCAGTTAGCTGGGACTACAGCTAATATGTGTCACCACATCCACATAATTAAAAAAATTATTTTGTAGATTCAGGCACTCACTGTGTTGCCCAGACTGGTCCTGAACTCCTGCCCTCAAGCAATTCTCCCTCCTTAGCCTCCCAAAGTGCTATGATTACAGGCGTGAGCCACTGCACTCGCACTCAAGAAGGATATTTTAATAAACATAAAAGAGGAGGGAAAATGGTGCTTAAAAGGAAAACGATCAATTCACCAGAAAGAGGAACTGATCACAGTGCCCCATCCCCAGGGTATCCAAGGTAGCTATGGCTTTAGGGTCTTGCGGCCCCGTCCAGGCCCCAGACATGTGCATTAACCTCTATGGTTAGGGGAGGTCACCCAGGGCTTTTGCCACGGGGAGCAGTTTTCTAAACTCAGGAGAGAGAGTGTACTCACCGAGCTGACCTCGTTTGGGGAAGCACCGTTTTTCAGAAGCAGAGTCACGACGTCTGTGTGTCCCTGCTGGGCTGCCTGGTGCAGGGGGCTGTATCCTAGCTGCAAAGCAAGCAGACATTTTGGCAGGGTTAGCCAACCATTAGACGGAGACCTGCCTACACATGATAGTGCCTGTCCATCTTCGAAGTGAGACATTAATAAAATGCATTTTCCCCCTTTCTTCCTTCAGTGTCCACGGTCAACTGTGGCGGAACCCCTAGTGGCCCAGAGCAGCAGCTCTGGCTGCACCCTGATGTGGCATGGAGAAGGGTCAGTGCAGGAGTCGGGGCTAGGGCATCCCTGTACCTTGGTCTTGGCGTTTACATCTGCCTGGTGCTGCAGCAGAAACTTCACCAGCTTGATGTTTCCGTAGTGACTGGCCACATGGAGGGGAGTGTAGCCCATCTGAAAAGCAGATGAGAAGGAGTGACCAGAGCTCTCCTGAGCTGGGCATCACATGAAATCCTTCCCAAAGCAGCCAATTCAAAGAAAAAATAGACAGGGAATCCCTTGAAGACTGACACTGACAAGCCAAATGGCTGCTGCTGGGCAGAGACCACCAGGCTGAGATGCTTGTGGGAGACCCAAGGGGAGATGTCAACCTGGCAACTGGAAAATGGACACTGAACCGCAAGAAGAGGGCTATGCTGGGGTCGTCAGTGCATGGGAGATCTGAGAGCTTTGGAGGTGAGTGAGGTCCCCCAGGATAAAGTGGAGGGTGAAAAGTGGGGCTGAGGGAGTGAGGCCGAGGCAGGAGAGAGGGAGAGGGAAACCTGGAGAGAGCAGCGTCACAGAATCCCAGGGGGCTATTTCAAGAGGAAGAAATAGCCTTCAGGCCTGGGAATGGCGCTGAGATGAGGGCAGATGGGGATGTGAGGTCATGTTCACTCCAATGACAACAGGCTTATTTCCATTAGAAAGCTGAAATCCCATTGAAAAACCCCCAAAAGGCTGTCCAAGTGACTTAGTTGTGGCGTGATGCAATTTACGGGAACTGATCATTGCTTATTGAAATGCGTGGGCTTGGGACATTTGCTCATGTGAGTCTGGGCTGTTCAAGGAGTCTGTGCTGCTGAATTTTGTGGTAATGCTTCCTGTGGGCAGGCAGGCCAAGGCCCTCTGAGCTCCTTGGTCCCAAGTGTCCCGGGAAGCTGGTGCCAGATTCCAGAGACCACCCAAGTGCAGGTCCTTCCCATAATGGGGTGACTTTGGGATCCTCAAGGCCATTCTAACCCACAGGACAGGGTCTTTTGGTGCAGGACCCCAAAAGACTAAACAGGGCCTGCAAGTGAAGCCTCAAAGATCCAGAACATTCTTAGATTTTAAGCAGGTTCCTGTGGAAGCTGCAGGCAGTTGGAGACAAAACACAGTTTCCAGACTTTTCTCAGGGTGACTTCAGCATAACATTGTTGCTGGCATTTCTGTGCTACTCTGGAGGGGGCAGGAGTTCCTGGTACTGTCACTGTCCCTTCCTTTTAATATGGTTCCCTTGTGGGGAAAAGAAACAAAATGTGGCTTCTTCCATGAAGCCCGCCTCCTCGCACCGACTGGAAACACCATCTCTGCCCTCCGTGCGCCCAGCTCCTCTCTTAAGAGTAAATATCAGATTAGGCTCTTCCTTCCTGTCCCTAGCGATCACCTCCACACCAAACTGCAGACGCCTTGATGCCAGATTCCATTCACACAGCTCCTTGCACACATCAGAGGTTCAGAGAAAGTTGAACTGAATTTAACCAAGTGCTGGAAGAAAAGGAGCTAAGCTTTTGTGTGAATCTGGGGAAACCTGACATTTTGACATGCTGACTACTCATACTAGACAGGTCTTAGAGTCATGATTAAACATTCGTCCCACTTTCTCACTGCAGAGGCTCAAAGGTCTAGCAAACTTTAAAAATCCCCCATGGGAAAGTAAGATAATTAGGAGTAGCATCTTCAAACTCCACTGCCCGCTCTAGGGAGTGGCAGGGAAGAATGTTCCACTGGGTCTTCGGGGTTTCAAAGCCCCGTGGAAGATTCAGTTCTGAAGTGTGAGCAAGCAGTCCACACAGACTGAAGTTCCAGCTGCCTGCCTTACCCGGGTGGTGGCATCCACCATGACGCCGTGTTTGATCAGCACGTCT